GTCAAATGAAACACACTCGTGGGCCAAAACGGCTTCTGACTGGTAGGGAGTGGCCATGCCTCAGTGGGCGTGTTTACCTCCTCTTCACTTGTTAACTGTATTGTTGTTTTTATTGTTTGTGCGTCTGCGTTGCTGTTGCATTCTGGCCATTATGTGCATGTTCGTATTGTGATGTTGCTCATCGTTGGACATGCTGCGCCCTCAAGCTTCCGACATGTTTCTGACGTTTGCAGATGGTGCGTTTGAAATGAAACTGAGGGGGGAGGGAGGGGGGATGGAGGGTGGGTGGAGGGAGGAGGGAAGGAGGGGGAAGGGAAGGCGGGACCGAGGGAAGAGGGAAGGCGAGAGGGAGGGCGGGAGACAGGGATGGACGAGGAAGGAGAGGGGGGGGGAGTATGAGTATGAGTATGACCATGTGACAGAGTCAGCCGTGCCAACATTACGTGACGAATTACACATGAAGGCATGACGGAGGGGATGGGAGGGGCCGTTCTCTCCTATGTGCTGTGCACGTCTAGAAACCCTGGCAGCTATTGCAATCAAAGAATCACTAGCGAATAGCTGTACGCGCATGCAACGAATGAACAAACTAAAGATGTGCAACGGCCGCTCGGGCCCTCACGGCTGCCACCTTCTTGGCGACGGCTTTACACATTGTTTTCTCGAGCTGCCTCCTCTCCTGATGGTATACTTTCGAGTGCAGGAGCTTCTTCGCTGAGCTCTTCAACCCTGGCTTCATGACGGTGTCAACCTCGGCCTTGGCCACCTTGGCCTTGGCCACCTTGGCCTTGGCCACCTTGGCCTTGGCCACCTTGGCCTTGGCCACCTTGGCCTTGGCCACGTGGGGTACCTCAGCCTTGGTCATCTTGGCCGTGGATCCCCCGCAAGAAGGCGGCGGTGGTCCTGCAGCTCTCTTTCCTGTGATTCTCTTTTTCGGGCAACATGGCGTATCTGCGTCAATCTTCTCTTTGTAGGCGAACTGCCCCCAGCCGAAGTTCTTGTTGCCGACTCGAGGGTCTATGGCGGTCTCTTTCGAAGCTTCGCATACAAGACTGTTCAACTCATCATCTCCACCAGTCAACGTCTTGGCCTCGGCGTCTGCGATCGTAGGTGCAATCGGCGCGCATCCTGTCTTGAAGATGTTGAAGACGTACTCGTCCTCGGAGTCGCTCTTCACCATGATCAGGTCCTTGTTGCTCTTGGCGCACGTGGGGGGGCACAGCGTGACGTCGTCGTCTGAGTCGTCGACGGTGCGCTTCTCCTTGGACTCCGCCATCTTGGGAAGCGCCTTCTGGGGCTCCTCTATGGCGGCCGATGTCATTGATATCTTCCGTGGTGGCACAAACATCATGTCGATGAGGCCTTGGAGTTTGCTGAATCTGGCTGGTGGGTGTTTGGACGAGGCAGCTGCGTCGCGAAGATGCGCAAGCATCGCTCGGCTCCTGTAGCTCGCTTTCGTGATGTCCTCTGCTTTGAACTTGTGCTGGCCCAACGTTGGGTCCATGAAGAACGTGTGGATCTGCTGATGCCAAGCTGCCTGCAGTAAGGTACGCCCCTTCGTTTCCTCGAGCAACTCTTCGAGAAATGACCTGGACCTGTACAAATCATCCCACTTTGGCCCTTTTTTCCATAACGTGCTCTCAGTGCCTGGCGTTCCGTACTTCCACAAATTGCAAGGGTTTTGCATCGCATCCACCGAAACGTGGTCTTTCAGTAGACGCTGGGCAACATCGCTGCTGAGATCTACGCCAGTGAATCTGCGTTCCTTCATGTGGCAGCTGTGCTGCCTCAAAAATCTGACAGCCCAAACGGCTATCATAACGATATGGCACGGGGATCTTGCAACTATTAGCCCTGAAATTCTTGACGCTTCGCGTATCCCCACCAGCCCATCCATAATGGGGCCTCTTGGGGGCCTCTTGAGGCCTCTTGGGGGGCCATTTTGAGCCATGCTCGGCTAGAGGCTGTCGGAGGCTATCTTGAGCCATGCTTGGCTATCTTGGGCCATCTTGGGCCATCTTGAGGCTGCCTTGAGGCATCTTGGAGGGCTGTCGGAGGCTATCTTGAGCCATGCTTGGCTATATTAGGCCATGTTGAAGGCCATCTTGGGCTTTCTGGGGCTCTCTTGGAGCCATCTTGGGCCAACAAGGGCGGGGTGGAGGGTCTTTGGAAGAGGCTGGGAGGCCTCGTGGGGCCATCTTGGGCCCCATGGCTCAAACAGAGGAGGTCCCTCAATGAGTACCGCCCCCTCGGAGGCTCACAAATGGCGTCTTGGGGCGCTCGTGGGCGCATCTTGGGCGATCTTGGGGCCTTCTTGGGCCTTCTTGGGCCCCTCTCGGGGCTCTCTTGGGCCATCTTGGGGTCATCTTGAGGTCCCAGAGGCCCATCGTACGCGAAACGGCGAGAATGCCAAAACCATTGATTGTCCTTAGGTTTTTTGAAGGGTTTGGGCGTGTTGGAGGGCGCCGTGGGGGCTCGAAGGGCACTTAGATCCGTCTTGGGGCTGTCTTGGGGCCTCTTGGAGGTATGTCGGAGGTTATCTTGACCCATCTTGGAGTACCTTGGGCCATCTTGGAGGCCATCTTGCGATTTGGCCTCTTGGAGCCATCCTGGGCCATTTTGGACGCTGCGGCGCATCCGTCCCTCCCACCCCTCCAGGTCCAGGGGAGGGGGTAGGGGGAGGGGTAAACCCATCCCCCGAGCAGGGGAAGCAGGGGGAAGAGAGAAGAACAAACTCGTTATACCAACGTAGCCCTAAAGAGTTGGGGTGGGATTTGTATTGGACACGCGTCATCCCAACCTCAAACTTGCCGCGAATTGCAAACACCTTGTTTTGTTTTGTTGAGGGGTTGTTAGGTTGGCGTTCTTTGTTGAAGCACAGCTAACGATCAATGCGAAAGCGAGCGAGGCGCGGCGAGGCGTGACGGCCGCCACCCAGCTAACGATCGAGAGGCGCGGCGAGGCGTGACGGCCGCCACCCAGCTAACGATCGAAAGGCGTTGCGAGGCGTGACGGCCGCCACCCAGCTAACGATCGAGACAAAAGCGCGCGAGGCGCGACCAGGCGTGACGGCCGCCACCCAGCTACCGAGAGAGTGTGAGGGCGAGCGAGAGAGACATGAATCCGCCGACCCATCTCTGGGACGCCAGGTATTTTAGTTACTTTGAATGAACTAACGAATGTGTTTTTAGTGGGTTTGATTTGGGTGTGGTTTTGTGGGTGTGTTCTTGTTTTGGCACTTTTGTGTGTGTGTGTTTTGGTGTGACGGGTGTGCCTTGAGGGGGTATGGTTTGTGTGGGTGTGCTTCTTGCGGGCGTCCAGTTTGTGTGTTTGTTGGTTGCACGTGTTTGTTTGTGCCCGTTTGTTCAGCATGGGCGGTGAGCCCCCCTTTTGTTTTTATTTGTTTTCTGTGTGTGTGTGTGGTTTTTTTTATGGGCGTGGTGTTTGTGGGTATGTTGTTTCGTGGTTTATTTTTGTGTAAAGTAAAATCATTGTAGGTGTGTGTTTGTTGGTATGCTTGTTTTGTCGGTGTGATTGTTGATGGTGTGGTGTTTGTGGGTGTGTGTTTTTTTTGTTTGGTGTGATGTTCTCTGGGCGTGACTTGTTGGGCTTTGTGCGCGTGGCCCACACGATAACTTGCAATGTATAGTTTGTTTATGGTCTGCGTCGCTGGCATAAGTCAAAGGGGCATTCCCATTTGTTAGTTTGTTTGGTGGGCTTATTTGTTATGTTACTGGTGGATGTGATTTGTGTGAGTGTGATTGTTGTATGTGTTTGTGCTTGTTGTGTGGCGGGCGTTCCTTGTGTGTGTGTCTATGTTTGTGGGTGTGCCTCTTGTCGGTGTATAGTTTTTTGTTATGCAGGCGTTGCTGTTTTGTTTTATGTTTGTTTGCCGCGGGTGGTGCGTTGTGTGTGCGTGTGGGGTTGGGGTGGTATGTTGTCCGCGTGTGTGTGTGTGTTATTATGTGTTGTGTGTTTTTAGTATGTATCTTGCTTCTCTTCATGGGTATGTTTTTGTGGGTGTGATTTGTGACTATGACTACACGTGCACGTACATGTACATGTACATATACATGTTCACGTACATATAGTGTAGCGTGGGTATGTACACTCATGGATTCATGCGTTCGTTCAGTTGTTCAGTCATTCATTTGTCCTTCGTTGCGTGCGCCAACTTCTAAGGGTTAGGGGTTCGGGTTTCGGGGTTGGGGTTGAGGTTTCGAATTTAAGGCTTCCGTCTCTTATTTTCAAAACAAGTGATACCACCAATGTTTAAGAGATTGGACAGGAGACTAGGCGACACATCGTTTATATATAGACCATATCTCTTGTATTTAAGAGAACAAGAGTCAAATCTTAACGATGTCTCCTAAATTCATCTCCTATCCTTTGTTTATATCTTAGTTTTAAGAGAATCTCTTGCGTTCAGACGATTGGGATGGTCGGGGCCCCGAGCAGAGTCCGGGCCAAGCTCGTTCCTTCTCGAGGGCAAGCGGGTTTTTTTTGTCGGGGATAGTTCGAAGGGGAGACTCAGGCGCAAACGCGCGAATGTCCGCGTGGATTGTTTGGATCGTCGCAGAACACCCTCCCCCTTCCCTGGCCTGCGGAGCGAGCCAGGAGCGCGGCGCCGGAGGCGCCGCCAGGGATGCTGTATGAAGGTGTCTACTTCCATGTTCTGATTTCGGACGTGAATCCTGGGACGTTGAAGTCAGCATTGGTGCTGGTATGTCCGTCGTCGATAGCTGGCCCAATCTAGTGTAGCCTTGTTGAATTCCGCCCAATCCTGATTCATCTGGATCAATCCAGGGCTAAGTCTGGCCTAATCCGGCTCATTGGCCTCTTAATCGGACTTTTGTAGCTTTGACTCGTTCTTGCGCAGACCTTGCAGAAGCGGTCTCATGGTTTTACCGTGTCTGATGGTCAGAACAGTTTGGAACATGAGAGGTGAGGTCCAGAACGACTTACGCCTTCAAGATGGGGCAGGGCGGGGCTGGAGCCAGGAGCTTGCCCCCGGCGGCGTGTGCCTGGCGGACTACTGCGAGGTGTTCGAGGTCTGCCACGGGGAATCCAGGCTTGCGGCGGGGCCACGCCGAAAGCAGGGAATTCTCAAGCTGTGTTCGCGCTGGGCGTTCCTCAAACAGTTTGTTAGTAGAGTTCCTGAGGAGCCGAGTACGGGGCAACCGTGCTCCGGAATCGGTCGGGCGACGATTGTCCCGTTGCCTCCACGGTCACCCCAGGTGTCTCCGCCTATGACCCCTTCTCCGCCACAGTGGAGAGCTGTTCTGGGTCATGTGCCGCAAGTGTGACATTCTATTTCGGAGAAGACAGAACGGCATAATGCATAGTGATCGATGTCGTATTCCTTACACCTCCCCCCTCCCCCTCGGGAGCAGATCTTGGCTGTTTCTGGCACCTGCTCCGAGCAGGCGGAGTCTCCCCCGCAGGAAGCACGGTTGCAACACAGTCGCATTAAGCAGAGGTCTGGAGCCAGAACTCCCCCCCCCCTCCCGCCCTTCCGCCCAATGCCGAGACACCGAGTGAGGAGGAGGAGGAGGAGGAGGAGGAGGAGGAGGAGGAGGCCAGGCTGGCCAGGAGGAGGAGGAGGAGGAGGAGGAGGAGGAGGAGGAGGCCAGCATGCAGGCGTCTTGCCGGCCAGGCTTCTCGAGGCGCAGCCCCACGACGGCCTCGGGGGCGCCCCTCGCTCTCTGGGCTGGTGGGCTGGCCGCCAGGGGGGCCCTCTCGGTGGCCCCCCCACCGGGGCCTCTTGCTCTTGGGCTCCGGACCCGTCCTGGGGCCCTCTGGATGATCCCAGAACGCCCCACAAGATCCGCCCCCCTTCCGCCTTCCCCCCCCCCTTCTGCCCGATGTCGAAACGCCGAAAAAAGAAAACGTTCCCATAAGCATGCACCGTCCAGGGTTCGCGCGGATGCTGCTGGGTCTGCGCTGGGCCTTCCTCCCCGCGCCTCCGGCGCTGCCCCTGGCGCCGAGGGGGGGCCAGCGCTGATCCAGGATCCAAGGAGTCCGCGCGGACCTTCGAAGGTTTCTCATAAACGTTCGAAGGTTCTCACGTTTATGATATAGGTTAATACTACACGTTTATCGTACACGTCTTTCAGAAGAGAACGAGCAGCTCAAAACACTAATATGTCCATGCTGTTCGCTTTTTGTTCCCAAGTTCGCGCGTGTTCCCCCCGCCGGGCTCCAGAGCACGTCGCGGGGCTGCTAGGTTCGAGCCTCGGCGGGCTGATCCAGGGCGCCGTCAACGGTTCCCCTTTTTTGGAACACGGCCTCGAATTGCGGAGGGAGCACCGCACTTGCAGGGGAACGCCCGCTGGTGAGCTCGACCCTGAATGGGGGAGGCGGCACCCTTCCGACCTCACGGGCCCCATGCAGGGCTCGTTGCTGTCCTTTCGATTCGGTTCGATTCGATTCCGATGGTTTCCGATTCCGATTCGATTCGATTGGGCCCCTCTTCGGGCCCCTTTTCGGGCAGGCTTGGAACCCTCTTGGGCCGTCCTGGGGCCCTCGCAGGGGCCTTTTGGGCAGTTTGGGGGCGGTCTACGAGGTCTCTTGGGCCGTCTTGGAGCGTCGGAAGCTCGAGAAGCCGATATCACAAGACACAATGAAAACCCTAAGGAACACTATTGATTGGGGCCTCTCGAGGCCCTCTTGTGAAGGCTCTTGGGGCGTCTCGAAGGCGTCCTGTGGCGTCTTGGAGCCATCGTAGGCGTCTTGGGCCAAGCGTCCCGCGGTTCGAGGGCGTCTCTCAACGTCTTTTAGGCTACGGAAGGCAGATGTGGAAGCTCTGGAGTTTCCAGGCGTGCGCTTGGGACCCCCTTAACAGGATGTTGGGCCCTGGGGGAGGGGGAAAGGGCGAGGGGGACAGCCAATCATCTCACACGCCCTCTCACCCCTGGCAAGCGGGGGTCGGCGGATGACGGAAAGCGCGCGTAGCGCGCGACCTGTTAGTCGGAAGGGATTGATTAGGGGGAGTGTGAGGGGGTGGCCTCTGTATTGCGGGATGACGGAATGCGCGCGTAGCGTGCGATCCGTTGGTCGGAAGGAATTAATTAGGGGGAGTGTGAGGGGGTGGTTTCTGCACTGCGGGATATAATGGCCCGCCCTTTTCTTTGTGAATGGAGCCCTGAACAGGGGAACATCGGGGCCCAAAAACGGACCGTGAACAGGGAGATCCCCCCCTTTTCCTTGTTAACGGAGCCCTAACAGGGAACATCGGGTGCTTAACAGGGAAAAGCAGGGTTTCACGCTCGGGCACCCTTTTCCTTGTTAACGGAGCCCTTAACATGGATTTAACAAGGGACATCGGGTGACGGACGCGTTTTTTCCCGTTAACGGACCGTTCACGGGGAAACGAGTTCCTTGTTAACGGACGGTTAACGGACCTTGAACACGGCGACCCCCAAGCGAGCAGTGACGTAAACAAGTTGATAAGACCAAGGTTCCCAGCAGAGAGCAGTGACGTAACCAATTCTTGACACAAGGGCCCGAAACGGGCGGCAACGTAAGCTCCGCGTAGGCTTCGCGTAAGCGCGTAACATCCTCGTCAATTTGAGGTGCCTTCAAGATAGCCCATTGCAGACCAAGCGTCCTCCAAGACGGTCCAAGATGCTTCAACGACGACCCAAGAGGCCAGAGGCCCGTAAGATCGCCCCAAGATGGCCCAAGATACCCCGAAGACGGCCCCAAGACGTGTTCGAACATCTGCACGTAAGCAGACGGCTTCAACGGCTTCCAAGACGGCTTAGAGAGGCCCAGACAGGCCCGAGGACGGCCCAAGAGGTCTCCAAGACCCCCCCACCGAGCACCGATGGGCGGTCTAAGCGGAAAACGAACAAACGAAAGTAGGGCTTTCGCCGTCTGGGGGGCGCCCTTGGCCCCGCCCTACCTACATCAGCTCCTCGCCAGCTTAAGGCACCTCCAAGACGGCGTGAGAGAGGCCCAGACGGGACCGAAGACGGCCCAAGAGCGATCCAAGATAGCCCAAGATGGCCTCAGCACAGTCCAATAGGCCTCCACGACACCCCAAGCGGCACCCGAGAGGACCCCCAGAAGTGCTGAAGGACGAGTGAACCAGTGTTGCCATGAAGGTTTTCCAGCTCCTCGCTTTTTCGGGCAAGAACTGCCCGATACAGCTCCAGAGCCCCCCGAGATTGTGCCATGACAGCCCGAGAGGCTCCCAAGAGAGCTTGAGAACGGTCCAGAAGGGCTCCAAGAGGGCCTGAGAGAGCCACAAGACGGCCCAAGGAGGGCCTGGGAGACGCCCAATATGCTTTCAAGAGACAGTATGTCGTCGTCACCATCATCGACAGTATTATCCTAATCTTCATTCGTGGTTCATCGCGCTCTAGTGTCTTCCCAAGATACCAACACGCCCTGGTTCCCCCTCAAGAGGCTTCCTGCAGCTTCGATATAGCCCTAGAGGGCGCCCAATATGTCCCCAAGATGCCCCAAGAGAGCCTCCAGACGGGGAGACAGAGAGTAAGAACGGGCAAGCTAGCGACATCTCGCGCTCTGAAAGTAAATGCGCTTTCCGTCCCCGTGCCAAGCAGATGACGGACAGAGCGAGGTCTAATGGCCCGCCCTTTTTCTTGTTAACGCAGCCCTTACCAGGGAACATCGGGTGCTTAGCAAGGAAAATCGGTGACGGACGCTCGGGCATCCTTTTCCCTGTGAACGGAGCCTTTAGCAGGGACTTAATATAGTGACAACCGGGTGACGGGCGCGCTTTTCCCCTGTTAACGGACCGTTAACGGACCTTGAACACCGCGGTTCCCACGAGCGAGCAGTGACGTTAACAAGTTGATAAGACCAAAGCTCCCAACAGAGAGCGGTGACGGAACGTCCTCCAAGACGGTCCAAGATGTGTCCGAGACGACCCAAGAGGCCAGATGCCCGTAAGATCGCCCCAAGATGACCCAGGATACCCTCAAGACGGCCCCAAGACGTGTTCGAACATCTGCACGTATGCAGACGGATTCAACGGCTTCCAAGACGGCGTAGAGAGGCCCAGACGGGCCCGAGTTCGGCCCAAGTGCGATCCAGATAGCCGACGACGGCCTCAATACGGCTCAAGAGGTCTTCAAGACCCCCCCCCCGAGCACCGATGGGTGGTCTAACCGGGAAATTCAAAACGGAAGTAGGGCTTTCGCCGTCTGGGGGGCGCCCTTGGCCCCGCCCTACCTACATCAGCTCCTCGCCAGCTTAAGGCACCTCCAAGACGGCGTGAGAGAGGCCCAGACGGGACCGAAGACGGCCCAAGAGCGATCCAAGATAGCCCAAGATGGCCTCAGCACAGTCCAAGAGGCCTCCACGACACCCCAAGCGGCACCCGAGAGGACCCCCAGAAGTGCTGAAGGAGGAGTAAACCAGTGTTGCCATCAAGGTTTTCCAGCTCCTCGCTTTTTCGGGCAAGAACGGCCCGATACAGCTCCAGAGCCCCCCCGAGATTGTGCCATGACGGCCCGAGAGGCTCCCAAGAGAGCTTGAGAACGGTCCAGAAGGGCTCCAAGAGGGCCTAAGAGAGCCACAAGACGACCCAAGGAGGGCCTGGGAGACGCCCAATATGCTTTCAAGAGACCGTATGTCGTCGTCACCATCATCGACGGTATTATCCTAATCTTTATTCGTGGTTTATCGCGCTCTATTGCCTTCCCAAGATACCAACACGCCCTGGTTCCCCCTCAAGAGGCTTCCTGCAGCTCCGATATGGCCCTAGAGGGCGCCCAAAATGTCCCCAAGATGCCCCAACAGAGCCTCCAGACGGGGAGACAGAGAGTAAGAACGGGCAAGGTAGCGACATCTCGCGCTCTGAAAGTAAATGCACTTTCCGTCCCCAGCCAAGCAGGTCTATAGGTCTCTGGCCCATCCTGCCACCGCGCTTGGTATGTCGCTCAGAGACACCTTGGATGCCTGCAAGGATCTTTTGGGATACTTCTCAGACGTTATTGGAGGCGGTTTTGGGATGTTAGTGGGCGTATCGGGGGCCCTTGGAGGTTTCTTGGCGGCGTACTTTGGGCCTTTCGGGGCCTCTTGGGCGCTTCTTGGAGCTTCTTCCGGTGGCCTGGGGGGGATCTCGGGGCCATCTTTGGGCGGAGGGCTCAACATGTAAGTTCGTGTTCTCCTTCTTGGGGCTGTCTTGGGAGCCTTTTGGGCCCTTCTCTGGGGCTCTTCGGCAGTTTGTTGGTGATCTTGGGCGCCCTGAAGGCGGTAATGCTAACACCACGCAAAAGAACAAAAAACAATGATGTTGGCGATGTTGGCTTTTTGGGCCGCCCTCCAAGGCCTCCAAGACGGCCCAGGAGGCGCCCAAAAGGGCTCCAAGACGGTCCTCAGGACCATATCGGGCCATGTTGGACATGCATGTCCCGAACAACGCGCTCTTTGGCCTCTGGACACGTCACGCGGGGAGTGTGTGTGTGTGTGTGTCGACCACAGGAGGACTCTCAGATCCTGGCGTCTCAATTTTTCAAGCCAGGCGTGCTCGCCTTGTTTCGGGTTCCCGGGCCCTCACATATTGATCCGGCTCGAAAAGTGACGCAGAACGATGGAGTCTAGGGCTCGGGGCCTCTTTTATACTATGTTTTGTTTCGTTGCGTCTGATCTCAGGAGAGGAGAACATGTAGAGGAGCAGACAGAGAGGAGAGACAGACACATTCCGCCAGCAGCCGAAAGCAGTCGAGCATGTCCTTTTCAGTGTGTGTTGACCAGAGGAGGATATATATATATATAAAGAGAGGAGGAGACACAGAGGAGAGAAAGATACGCTCCGCCACCAGAAGCCGAAAGCAGTCGAGCATGTCCGTTCAGTGTGTGTCGACAGTAGAGGAGGAGGAGGAGGAGGAGGAGGAGGAGGAGGAGGAGGAGGAGGAGGAGGAGGAGGAGGAGGAGGAGGAGGAGGAGGGGGAGGAGGACAAACACGGAGGAGGACGATAAGTAGTGGAGAGGCAGCCAAGTTCCGTCGGTCGTCGTGCTCGCCGTTGTCCGTGATCGTCGCCGTCGGTCGTCGTCGTCGTCGTCGTGGCCCCCCCCCCCCGCGCTGCAGGCTCAAGCGGCAGGCCGCCAGCCAGGCCGCGTGCAACAACGAGACGCTCGGGGAGGCCCGGCGCCGGTGCGAGACGGCCATGGCCAGGTGCTTCCCGCTCGGCGAGGCACCGCCGCCGCCTCGGCGGTCGGCGTCGGCACTCCGCGGCCGCTGGCGCGGTCGCTTCGGCGGTCGGTGTCGGCGGTCGGCGTCGGCGGTCGCATCGGCAGCGCGTCGCGTCCGCTCCAGACCCAGACTCCCTCGCGATACGACAGTCACGACGGGAGGTTGTTCGCTATTTTTCGGTTTCTGGGGGGCCCTTACCGGGCCTCGGGGCCATCAAAAAACGACGGCTCAGGACGAAAAGCCTGTCCCGGGGGAAGGGGTCCAGACCGCTGGGGGTCAACGTCCCCTCCAGATCTCCGAGGAGGAAGGTGCTGGTGCGGACCTCGAAAACTCCCGGTCAGGACGCACCCTGGGAGAGGTCCCCAGGGGAGTCGCGGTGTCGGTACCTCTCGGTATCCCCAGAGGCGCCGTCGGCGGCCGTTGCGGCGGCCGGCGGTCGGCGGTCGCATCGGCGGCGGGTCGCGCCCCCCCCCCCAGATTTGGTCGGGAATTTCCTTCTACAGGAGGAATATTCAAGAATAGTGTGCAAATCGCCAGGGTGCGATTTTTAGATTATTTTGACCATGTTTGAACATGTTTCGATTATCCTTAATTTTTCTTCCAAAACCCGCCTGGAGGATGACATGCCTGACCGAACCCCAGATCTAGAGATCTCCGACGGCGGCGGTCTGATCGTTTCGGTTCTGGGGGTTTTGCCTTGGTTTCGGCTTTCGGGGCCTGCGTTCGCACCCTTTGGCAGTGAGAAGTGGGCCTGGGGCGGAACGTTGGCCACGGGGAAGGGGTCGGGTACCGCGCATGGACAAGCATCACTCTGGGCCTGCTGGATAGGGTCGCAGCACATTGGGTCCCAGGATTGCGCCGCATCGCCGATGCCTCGGCGATGCGGCTCAATGTTGAGCCCGATGTTCTCCAAGCCGACGTCGCCGATGCATCGCCCACGTCGACGGTGCATCGCCGGTGCATCGCCGGTGCATCGCCGATGCATCGTCGATGTATCGGCGATGCGGCGCGATCCTCCGACCCTAGCTACTCGGACCCCGTCTAGGAGGCCTCTAATCACATCGTGGGATGTCCTGGTCGGCGGTCGCGCGCCTCTTTCACCCCCAGGCCCCGCGCAGTCCTGATGCACGCCGGCAGACTGGCCCACCACCTGCCCTTCATTCACTGCCAGCTGGGCGCCATCTCCGTACGTGCTCGCCGGTTTTCCGGCTCCCGTTGTCGTTCCAGCCGCAGTGTTGTGCCCAATTCCACATTCTAGGTCCCTTGGACGGGGTCCGCGCAGATGGGGTCGAAGGATCGCGCCGCATCGGCGATGCGTCGGCGATGCGGAACGAGCCGCCGACCCCATCTATTCGGACCCCATCCAGGAGGCCTCTGAACATGGACGTCCGCGTCCCGTCCCAGCATTCGCGGCGGTGCCGCCACCTCGCCGGAGGATGAGAAAAGTTTGGCTCGGCTCGGCGGCGGCCGGCAGGGCCGATCTGCGTGAGGGGTGTCAATTTTTACCCACCCTAGCAATTCAGACAACACGCTCAGGGCGTGGTAAAAATACCCGTTTTGGGCCTCCCCCCTTCGCGCGGTCCATCAACAAGTAACAGTAAGCAGCAAGAAGTCAACAAGGAACAGTAAGCAGCAAGAAGCAGAACTGTAACAGTGGAAACTGGAAGCTGCAGCTGGTACAGGAAACTGCGAACCTTCGGCCTACAGCCTGGTGGCCCCACAAGGGGGCCGGCGGATTCAGCCAAGCGCAGAAGGCGCGGGTCTTATCTGTAGATGTAAGGCCGGCGCCTTCTGAGAAGCAGCCTCCTGAGACGCCCTCCCCCCTCCCTCCACCCCCTTGTGCGCGCCACCAATTTATGTATTTATTTTTATATATATATATATATATACATGTGTGTGTGTGCAGTTGATCGAGGACGGAGGGTGGGTGCCTCCGCGAGGATCGAGGATAGATGTATTTTTGGGAGGTATCGGGCCCTGTGCGTATCTCCCGAGGCCTCTGGCGTCCTTCAGCGATGGTGGCTCGCAGGCACTTCCTCGAGTGAGGCTCAGAGCCAGCTTTGCATCGCTTGGTTTGTGCATTCTTTCTCGGCGAGGTCCATCGGCGAGCACCTAATTAGGATCACCTTGCGAGGCAGTAGGCGCACGAAAACGACAGATGCACGGGGAGTGGACGTCTGGGCGATGGCTTGCCAGGGGTCGAACGTCAATAACGGCCAGCCTTTTTCGTGCCTTGTCCGCTGGCCCCTGGGGGCCCTCACGGGGTGATCCCGCTCGAGAAGGGCCGCGTAAAGTCGTGGTCGAGGTCTCGGGCCATGCTCTTTCGCACCCCTGCAGCATGTTTGCCCATCGGCGTAGTATCGGGGAAGCGCAAGACCCGAGTAAGCCGGAACTCGGGTTTGCAAGGTTTTTTTGACCAGCGCGTCCTGGATTTTGACGGTCCAGTTTTCGTGGGATGTCTGCAGCGGGAGCTCGCGTCAAATTTCAAAGTGGGCCTCGTCACGTTTATGATGGCCCCGTCGGGCCAACCCGAGTCCCCCGTACCCGAGTCTTACGTCTCCCTCATAGTGGCACTTCGGGGGCCATCAGTCGACAGCGCGCCTGGGCGAGTGGGGGAGGCAGGAGGGTGGGTCAGAGCCCCGAATCATCAGGGGTAACTCGGGTCAGGGATAACTCGGGTTCCTTTTTCGGGAATCCAAGCCCGAGTTACCCCGGACCCGAGTTACCCCGGATAACTCGGGCGTCCAGAGCCCCAGAATCATCAGGGGTAACTCGGGTCAGGGATAACTCGGGTTCCTTTTTCGGGAATCCAAACCCGAGTTACCCCGGACCCGAGTTACCCCGGATAACTCGGGCGCCCAAGTGGGTGGGGTGGGTGGGGGGCAGACCCTCTCAGAAGGCGGCGGGGATTCGCGGCAGGCTCGCGCCTGCTGAGGAGCATTCCAAGCCCAGCGTCCTCCGAGGCCGCGGGCGGCTCCCTGGAGGGCGCGAGGGCGCCTGAGAGCCCCGACGTCGGCCGCCTTCTCCCCCCGGGCGGGCCGCCTTACATGCCCACCACGACTCGACCTGGGAGGGGGGCGCTCCAAAGCACAGGGCCTCTCCCTGCGAGGCATCGAGGGAGCTGCCCGCTGCCCTGCCCCCCCCCCCCCTCCTTCCGCCCTGTCGGCGGCCGTGCTGCCTCGCCCAGCCGCTCGTCGCGCGGAGGAGAAGTCCCGGAAACTGAACGCGCAGCTGTCGAAGACGTGGTGCAGGAGTGGGCGCGGAGGCGCAGGAGGAGGGAAGACCTCTCAACAGGAGAGAAAGAGCGAGGGAGGGAGATAGGGAGGGAGGGAGGAAGGATGAGAAGGAGGAGGAGGAACAGAGCCTCCGCCCCCCCCCCACCCCCCCGCCCCAGGAGGAGGATGAGGAGGATGATGAGGAGGGCCATTGGATTCAGCTGCTCCGCCCCCCTCGATGGTCCACCTCTTTCTTCGTGCTGCACTTCGCTGCTACAGCCCCGCTCGTGTGACCCCCCCTCGCCCTCCAGAGGCGACCGCCCCGAGGGGGGGGGGGGACGCGACAGCTCCCAGCTCCGACCATCGGACACATTGCCATCAGCTCCGAGGAGGGGGAGGAGGGGGAGGAGGAGGGGGAGGAGGGGGAGGAGGAGGGGGAGGAGGAGGAGGAGGAGGAGGAGGAGGGGAGGAGGAGGGGATGAGGAGGATGAGGAGAAGGAGGAGGAGAGGAGGAGGTGGACGAAGGGGAGGAGAGGCAGGAGGGGGAAGGAGGAGCAGGAGGGGGGGAGGGGTAGAAAGGGGCGGGGCAAGGGAGCATTGGGACGGGATGAACAGAAACACGCAGGGGGGCGCGCCCACTGGCATTTCAGTGTATTGGCCAATCCATATAGATCTATACGCATGCATAAACACATGCATCCATTCGTACAGACACGCATACATACATACATACATACATACATACATACATACATACATACATACATACATACATACATACACACACACATACATACATACATACATACATACATACAGACAGACAGACATACAGACATACAGACATACAGACATACAGACATACATACATACATACATACATCATGCATGCATGCATGCATGCATGCATTCATACATACATATATACGTACATATATGCATGCATGCATACATACATACATGCATGCATGCATGCATGCATGGTGCGAACACAGATGCATACACATATGCACACGTACATGCATACGTACACGCATGCCTGCATTCAAATATACATACATATATACACGAATTCATTCGTTCATGCATACATGCATACGTACGTGCGTACATACATACATGCAGGCGCTCATACATACATGCATGCATACATACATTATTACAGACACTCATGCATACTGTATACTCACTTATTCATACCTGCACACATACACATAGACGTACATCCACACACGCGTATGCACGTACGTACCTACCTACACACAGACATGCACGCACGCACGCATGCTTGTATGCCTGCCTGCCTGTTCGCATGCATGCATGCATGCATGCATGCATATATACATATCTACATCTACACAGATGCGCACATACATGCATACATACCTACGGACAGACCTGCGGAGAGACAGACAGACAGACAGACAGACAGGCAGACAGACAGACAGACAGACAAAAGGACAGACAGACAGACAGACAGGCAGGCAGACAGACAGACAGACACACACATACATACATACATACATACATACATACATACATACATACATACATACATACATACATACATACATACATACATATATATATACGTGCATACATGCATCCATGATCAAACACACATGCTTGCACGCATACATACACATACACATGCATCCAGACAGACAGACAGACAGGCACACAGGCACACAGACATATAGGCAGGCAGACAGACAGACATGCATGCATGTGTAAATATATATATATATAGGCATGACGTTTTATATATGTATGTTACATGCGCTGAAGGCGTTGTTTCGCTTTCGCTTGCGGCCGCAGCCGTGCCTTCGCGACAGCATGCGACCCTTTCGCGAAGAAAAGGGCCGCTGGTGTGAACCATCTTGCAGGAGGAGGGGGAGAGGTGATTGACGAGGAGGCAGCAGAAGACAGATGGTGAGGAGTATCATACCGAAGAGTACCTGGGGATGCGCAGAAGAGGACTAAGGAGACGGGAGGAGCTCGGCCGATGAGGAATATTCGTAATTAGAACAAGAACGAGTCGCACGACGACGACGAGGGGGAAAGTTATCATCAAACGAGCAGGATGTAAGAGGACGACGAGAAAAGAGCAGGGACGACTCGAGATCGACGATGAGGAGGAGGAGCGCAGGGGATTCTCATGTTGCGCTCCTCCAGCGCGTAACTGGTGCAGCGGAGTCTGTCTGCGGAGGAGGGGCACCGATGGGGAAGTCGGAAGAGGGGGGGAGCAATAACGGTCGTCGGGGCAGGGTGGTGGAGCAACAAGAGCAGGAGGCAGATCAGGGGGGGAGCGGAGTTGGGACGACCAGAGGCAGACCCAGGGGCACATGAAGAACGACCCATACTGCCGACCAGCTTGGTCTCGACCCCCACCCCAGGACCCGTCTTTGATCCCTGGTCCTGCGTCGACCCTCAGCAGGCCCCAAGCTCGGGGGCCCAGGGGGGAGTACGCCTGCCGCCGTGCTTTCTGCAGCGGCGCTGGAGGGCTCAGGAAGAACCGGGTCCCCGGCGTGATTTGTCATGACGTGGACTCCCAGAGAGTTGGACCCTTCCGGCTGTTCATCCTGAGTCGTGTTTTGGCGGTCCTGGGGCCCGGTGAAGGCCCCAGAAGCCGAGAATGGCGGACAACATTCCGCCGTTTTTTCTTCCGCGGCGGAGGAGGAGGTGGAGGAGGTGGAGGAGGAGTTGTTGTCCGTTTTGTCCTTCCCGGCAAAGGGCAGGACCATCGACTGCGCGATCCGGGCGGAGCAGCGGTCGGGGCACCACTCGGAGCTCATGCCAGTCATCGTCATATTGATCTTCATCGTGGGCAGGGGAGGATAGATCGGCGTCACCCAAGCATACTAATACTATGTGTGCGTCGCCCCCAAAGGGACGACGCGCTCGCTGAGAAATCTTATGGTGTATGTTCGGTGCCGGGCGCTTTCTGGCCATGTCGCTCGGGAAATTATACGCAACAAAATGGTTCTACTACATGTTCGGGTCGGGCGCACGCCGCGAAGGAGGGCACATAGTACTACCATGTCCTTGTGCATCCTATTCGATGCTCGTTTGGGACAACTTCCTGGGGCCCACCTGACGGGTCTGTTCGACCCTAATTCCTCTCTTGGCTGATTCTGGCACGACTCCGTGGCGGAGCGTTCTTGACCGCTCTCAGAGCGTTCCGGAGCGCTCTGAGAAGGCCGCGGCGCCTCGGACATCCTCCAGAGCCGCCGGATCTCAGAGCTTCTCGAGTTATCCTCGCCCGATGTTGCCCTGCCCTGGCTTCTTCTGCACACAAGGCGAGGCCCAGGACGAAGAGCCAGTCCAGGGGGAGGGGTCGGGAGGTCGGGGCGCCTGAAGCAAGCCCCGTCGGCCGCACGGCCGGAGAGCGGCACAGGGCAAGACGGGGCAGGCCAGGTCTTGCCCCGGCTGCCCGCTGCTCACTGGGCCTCCCGTGCCGCCTCGGTTGATGGGCCGATTTCACACCACCACCACGAGCATAGGTAGGAGAGGGAGGAGGAGGAGGAGGAGGAGGAGGAGGAGGAGGAGGAGGAGGAGGAGGAGGAGGAGGGGAGGAGGAGGAGGAGATCTCCCCCGTCCAACCCGTGGTAGTGGTGGAGAATTGGCCCATCATCGTTTGGCTGGCCCTCGGCGTCCTGCACAACATTGCACTGCCAGCATCGCGGGGCGTCTCGTCCTGTCTGCCCCCTGTGCAGCGCAGGTTTTGGCCAGTGGCGGGGCGGCCCATCTGAGAGACATTCGCCCACTTCTCAGGAGGGGTGGCGAGGACTTGGTTGGGAGACGCTCGTGGGAATATGCCCACTGCTTCTTTGATGACCTGGATCATTTCGCTGACGCTCGCGACCATTGAAAGGGGTTCGTGAGGACATGACTGGATTCCAGGACACCCATCAGGTTATTATTGATTAGGTGTATTGCCACCGCTACATATACCACCGCGACCAACTACAGTTGTTGCACGCTTGATGATGGCATTGTTGCGTTTGCTATCCGTACTGCTACTGCTGTCTTCTATCCTGGTTGTTTCACTATGGAGACTCATAGTACTACTATTGCCGTTGCTTGTGCTACGACTTAATATGACTAGTACGACTGGAACTACGTCTACGACTACAATTACCACTTCGGCTAAAACTAGTATTCGTAGTCCGTTGAGTTCGACCTGCATTGAAACTGCAGGTTCGAGTTTAACTTCTGTTGCTCGTATCCACTGTTCGATGTGTGCCACTACCCGTCTACCCTCACTTCTTTTTCAGCGAGCTGAACCGGAGAAGACGTTATGGAAGCTGTCTCTCCGTAGGAGTGCACTTCGATAGCCTGCGATCGCGCATTGCCGCGCCTCGGCCTCGGCCGTGAGCATCGTCCAGGACGGGGTTCTCGAAGGGGGCGGGACCGAAGGAAGGCGCTGGGCGTTGGCTCGTGGATGGCCCCGCACTTTCCTCGAAGATTCGGAGGAAAACGGCGACGAGGATACGAGCACGGAGGGGGGAGCGAGCGACGAGGCGACAGGGGAGACGACAGGGAGTACAGGCGCAGCATCGTCTTGGGAGCTGTGGAACCAGAGGGTCCTCCAGAGGGAAGTGAGCACAGCGAGCGCCGCATTGGCAGTGGAGGTCTTGATATGCTTCATATTCTTCAGCATTGTGGTTTGCTGCGTCGATTACAGCGACGACATTATCCAGTGGCTGTCCGACTCTGGACTGCGACGCGGTGATGTAATGAGGGTGTTCATTCAAGCGAGGGTTGAGGCGAGTATGGCTGGACTGAGACTTGCCTCAGTGATCTACTTAGCACGTGACCGCGAGAGCCCAGAGCTCGAGAGCCCGCGAGCCTCTGGGCGTGCATTGTTTGGGAGGTCGGAGTGCTAGCCAGCAGCCCGAGCGTCAAGAGCCCTCATTGCAGACCAATAGCGCGCGATACTTTTCTCATGTGGAATTCGTTGGAACTGATTGCGAGCTCCTACGTCCTCGGAGCAGCTTCGTCGAATATGTTGTAGCTGTGCATCGTGCTTATAGGTGTGGTGGTGGTGGTGGTGGTGGTGGTGGTGGTGGTGGTGGTGGTGGTGGTCACTGCGCAAGGGAAACGAGTCCCGAGCAGAGCCACACGCATCACGACCACGACGACGCCGACGACGACGACGACGGATACGAGGCGCGCAGACGATCCGCACCGAAGCGCAGACGATCTGCACCGAAAGGGCCAACCCTTCAGGTTCGGTGTAACAGCACATCGTTGAGCAGTGTTGCAAAGCGGCTTTCTCGATACTCCAGTCGTGCATCGTGCTCGCCGGTGCCGTGGGGGAGGCTGCGGCGCTCGGCTCGCAGAGTCAAGGTCACGTGGACTGTGCGTGTAAATCCAGCCGCCTGCGGCAACTTCCCGCCACCATGCAGGTGGCATGCTCCATGCAGGTTGGAGCCAGCTTGGGGGGGGCTGGGAACGCCCAGCACATGTTCGGGCCTCCAAGAGAGGGGTGAGCAAGGGTCCGCCTCGGAGCCACGCTTGGACGCGGCTCGAAAACCTTGTCAGTCCGGGAGGGGTCTGGGGTCGGATTTGAGCGGATTTGTTGGAGTCCCCTTCGCAGACCCATTGACCGCTTCCAAAATGCAGGATAATCCGACCGAGCGTTGATGTACCATCCAGGGGCAGTGGGCGTGAGAACACGTCCACGTTCAGGAAGACACGGGGCATGCCGACAAGGTCTTGATAAGCATGGGAAGCGGACGTATAGGGGCTACAGTAGCAAGAGGACGTGCGGGCAGCAGAAGAGAAATGCATGGAAGGAGAGAAGATGGGGAACCGCAACCGCTCTGTCTCAAAGGAGGGCACAGTGCAGTAGGCTTGGATATGAATACGGCAGTCGAATACCCCTGCAAGTGCACACGGCGCCGATGTGCAGCGCACGCGCGAACACCAGTCGGCGGCGAGTTCGGGGGCGAAGTGAGAAGGGGCGGGCCTTCTCAGAAGGCTCGAAAGTCCCCCAGCCTTTGAGAATGAGAAGTTTTCTAAGCCTCCCCCGACGACAGAGGTAACGTCTCAGAAGGCGCGAGGGTTTCTGAGAAGTCCCGCTGCCTTCTGAGAGGGCCTTCTCCTTCTCACTTCACCCCCTCGCTAGCCGACGAACCAAGCCCCGCAGTTGTGTCACAGCAGTGGTCGGAGGAGACCAGGAGCCTCTTGGACGCAGCGGAGGCACGCGGCCGGTCTGCAGGAGCTGTTCCCGCTTGTCGGGGCTCACGAGACAGGTGTCCATGCAAACGAGGGTCAGTCAGAGCGCCGGATCTTGCGGGATCCTGCAGAGCCAGGGGCGCACTGACCCGCGCTTGGGTGCAGGATCTTGCAGGATCTTGCAAGGCCTGACGGACCAGGATCTGGATTGCCCGGATCAGCAGATCTTACCAGCCTCGAACGTATCCCTGCCCCTGAGATTGACACGCCAAAAGGCGATGACAATCTTAGGGATCCGCCCTCAAAAAATAAGGGAATCCCTGAGATTGGCATCGTGATGAGGAGATGCCCAGCACAGGGATGGGGATATGTTCCGGGCTGGTAAAGCTCCCCGACGGTGTCCGCGCGCGCTGAGCGCCCAGGCGGGCCAGCCGGGGTCCGCCACCGACACGGAGCCCACGCAGTGCCGCAGTGCTCCGTCGAGGCTTCGGGTGGGCACTTTGCGGGCCCCGGAAACGGCAGGGCCGTTTTTTTACACCGTTTCCGAAGAAATGTACCTTGAAAATGGAAACGGCAAAAAAACGGCGACCGGAAACGGCAAGAAAACGGCTCCAGGATTGGACCGGAGCCGGAACCGGTAACAAAAACGGCGACGGAACCGGTAAAAAAACGGCGTCGGAACGGGTGGGCATGTCTCTCTACAGGAGGAATATTCAAGAATAGTAGAAGCGAAGAGTCTGCGGACGAGCCCTTGTTTTTTACAAGTCTTGGCAGTTCTCTCAGAGTCCGCCTGCAAGAGGACGTGCCCGTTCGGAGCCAAGGTTGTCCCTGCACCCGTGCCGCTGCGGCCCGCTCTCAGCCATGGACCCTCAACGGCACCGTAACGGGTACTTATTAACGGGTACTTTGAGAGTTTGCCGAAAGTTGCCACTTTAGGGCCTTTTTCTTGCATTGCAGCTTTGCCCACATCGGGAAGGGTTGGGTTCGCTGGGTCACTGGCCAAAGTACCCGTTAGTGGAGTCCCCCTTTGAGGGGCGCTGAGACCCCTTGAGCTGCCGGCCTCGATGCCGCTCCACCGCAGGTTCGCGTCGCGTGGGCGCGGCAGCGGCCCCGGCGCGGGCGTACAAAGGTTGACCGCCGCCGAGTGCCGCGGTCGGCCAAAGCCCGAGCGACGCACGCGGTGTCAGAGGCCAGCGCCCAGGGCGGCACGACACGATGACTGGCCGTGCCGGGTCCCGACGTGGGCGCCCAACGGGCCCGAGCGTCCTCGCCCTGCGTCCCCGTCGACGTGGGCTCCTGACCGCAGCGGGTGGCGCGGCCGCCGCTCGGCCGTACCCCCGCCTCTCCAGCAGCGGCGAAGCATCCGTGGCCTGCCCAGGGGCCCACCGAGGAATGTTATGATAACCTTCTTGGGCTCCGGGTGGGACATTATTTCAACACGTTTTGCCCAGGCGGGTTTTCAGACGTCTGCCCGGTTGTGTGCGAACTGTGCTCGCTTCTATGCACAGAGCAGCTCTGCTTCCGAGAGCGTTCGGGATAGGCCTGTGGGGGAGCACTGGGACTGTCGGTCCCCGCCCAGCTCTCGTGGACCCCCCCCCTGGTGCCCGCGGCGGAGGAGCACTCAACGCCCGCTGGGTGAAGAGGCTGATCAAGGCCCGGGACACCACCCGCGCGGCCGCTGGCGTCACCGACCGCACGCGGGAGATCTGAGTGCCAGGGCGGCTGAGGCCGGGTTGGGAGGATGGCCAGTTGAGATTTCGGCGGCCCTCCCCCCAGTGGAGGGTTTCTCCGAAGGGCTTCGGCGACCTGTCCTCCTCCTCCTCCTCCTCCTCCTCCTCCTCCTCCTCCTCCTCCTCCATCTCCTCCTCCCCCCTTCCCTCCTCCACCTCCTCCTCCACCTCCCCCTCCTCCTCCTCCTCCTCCTCCTCCTCCTCCTCCTCCTCCTCCTCCTCCTCCTCCTCTCCTCCTCCTCCTCCTCCTCCTCCTCCTCCTCCTCCTCCTCCTCCTCCTCCTCCTCCTCCTCCTCCTCCATCTCCTCCCCCCTCCCCTCCTCCACCTCCTCCTCCACCTCCTCCCCCCCCTCCTCCTCCTCCTCCTCCTCCTCCTCCTCCTCCTCCTCCTCCTCCTCCTCCTCCTCCTCGAGTCGCCTACGGCCCCTGGGGAAACGGTGCACCCCCCGGCCCACCCTTGTTCCAAATCGATCCCCAGATCTTTCTCGCGATTCACTGCTGTCGCCCAGATGAAGGATTTATCGGAGTACAGTTCTTCTGGGCCTCCTAGATGGGGTCCGAGTCGAGGGGGTGGGAGGGTCGCGCCGCATCGCCGATGCATCGGCGATGTGGCTCGATGCGGAGCCCGATTTCCTTCACGTCGACGTTGCCGATGCATCGCCCACGTCGACGATGAGTCGCTGGCGCATCGCTGATGCATCGCTGATGCATCGTTGATGCATCGTTGATGTCGTGGCGATGCGGCGCGATCCTCCGACCCCATCCACTTCGACCCATCTAGAAGGCCTCCACAGACCCTTCTGGGGATTCACTGCTGTGGCCCAGAATGGGGTCCGAGCAGATGGGGTCAGAGGATCGCGCCGCATCGACGATGCATCGGCGATACGGCTCGATGCAGTCAGCGAAGTCGTCAACGCAACCTGCTGGCCCCAGCACGACCACGGCACTGCCGACGTTCGCCTCCCCAATTTTGCCGAACCGCGGCAAGGAGGGTTCGGCCGATGTCTCGTGCAGGGGGGGCTTCAGCGCGAAGACTGTCTTCAACAGCATGCATTACAGGATTGAAAGCCAGCAGAAACACAGAGTCACCGAGCGCGTTGCCAGCACGAGACCCAGACGTGGTCTCGACACAACGAGGCACGCCTTCAACGGCGAACCGCGACTGACGACGAAGTTTGCTGAGCACGGCCATGAAGTGCTCAGAGCCGCCCGAATCCAGGCAATATTCGTAAGCCGTCAACCCTTCAGCAACATGCTTTGCCTCTTCCGGGGTGAGCTCCCCTCTCTAGTCGAGATCCGACGACGCGGGAAGCTTGTAACACCGTGACAATTCTGCATTTTCTTAGCCAGATCGCCCTGTCAGGATCTCGGGGCCAGAAAGATGGCGAACTCGCCCGTTGTGTCTCAGGGTCTCAGGGTCGGCCCGAACCCTAAGGTTCCTGGTCACAACTGGGCTCTCCGGCGGCCGCTTGGGACGATCCGGGCACCCTGCCGAGGCTGGAGATTTGCCGAGGCCCGACGAAAACGCCAGAAAGCCTCGAACCTCGAAGCGAACAGGCTCCCCGTCCCTCTCCTTCTCCTCGCCCTCCCCCTCCTCCTCCTCCTCCTCCTCCTCCTCCTCCTCCTCCTCCTCCTCCTCCTCCTCCTCCTCCATCTCCTCCTCCCCCCCCTCCTCCCCCTCCTCCTCCTCCGCCGCCCCCAGGGTGAGGCCTGGCACCTGTTTTCATGGTGTCAGTGCCGAGTACCCTCGGGGCACACTGTACACGGCACTTCATTTGCAGGTTGGGCGGGGTGCAACCAGCCGATTTATCTGGAATTGCGGGCTCTGGGGCTCGGGGTGGACGTTGCGAAACCTGTATCGACGGGTCTCCCGTCGTGGGGTGTAGCACGCCAGCACGCCCGCAGTCTCAGCCTGGCCCTGCGGGTGAAGGCGGGTGGCGGCGCCTGTGCGGTCATTTCGTTGTGATCTGACCCTCGGGGATCGGCATTTCCTCGGGAGGCGGTGGCTCGTGCCGCGTAAGTCCCCAGGGGCCCTGTGCCCACCCAGGGCTGGGGAGCTTGTGCTCCTCGGTATGCCGTGCCAGTTGTTCCGACTGGGACGCCGTTGGCTCCCAACGCACCACGTCGGAACCGCTGGGCCGCGAGTCTTCACAGGCGACGTGGTCACCCTTTGTGCCCTTCCTGCGCAGCTGTTGCTGCTCTCCGGGCGGTATTTCGTTGGCTGGGCGCCAGACTCCTCCTCTTCCTCTTCCTCTTCCTCCTCCTCCTCCTCCTCCGTGTCCTCCTCCTCCTCCTCTTCTTGCCTCTCCTCGAGCAGTTGTGGCAGGGGTGCCTGTCCGGCAGCGGGGGCGGAGCGCAGCCAGAGGCGTCTTGCCCGCGGCCCTCCCCTGCCGCGCGCCGCCCCCCCCCCCCCTTGGCGGCGGCGGGCGCCGCGCACCGCCCCGTGGGCACGCGGCCAGTCGCGCACTGAGATCGAAGGAGGACAAACTGCTTCGGAAGCAGGTCATGAGAGCCTGGTATACCTTGTTACCCAGAGCCCCTCGGGCAATGACAGAAATCATGACGGGAGGTCGTTCGCGATTTTCGGCCTCCGGGGGCCCCTACCTGCCCCCGGGGTTGTGGAACAACGACTCGGGATGAAAAGCCGGTCCAGGGGAATGGGTCGAGACCTCCAAGGGTCGATGTATCGAAAAACATCATAACGTCGAGGGTCTGGGTAATATCGTTCTCAGCATCGCTAGCGCCGATTAGCGTCGGGGAATCGACGAGATAGCGCCGGTTCAGCGTCGGTTAGCGTCGGTGTAGTGTCTACCGGCGTCGAATTAGCGTCGGTCACATCGGTTCCCAAGAGCCGACAAGATGCTACCCAGACCCCCCATGAGTTGCCACCGAACAGTCGCGCACTGAGATCGAAGGAGGACGAACTTCATAAACCCAGACCCCCTCGCGTCGTGAAAAACCAGAGATCCGAGAATTCTTTGTTATTTCAATCCGGTGTTTTTTTGGGGGGGGGATTTCGGCCTCCAGGGCCCGTTATCGGGCCCGGGGACACCTTCGGGGAAGGATTAGGGACCTCTGGGGCCGCGGATTGAAAAATCACATCGGCGGATGCCGGGGAAATCACATCACGACGGGTGGTTTTTGGCTGTTTCGGGCTTCCCGGGGCCCTTGCCGGGCCTCAGGGCCGTCGAACACAGCGACTCGGGATCACAAGCTGGTCGTCGGGAGCGATTCCAGACCTCTGGTGGTCCAATCTCATGAGAAAGCCACGACGTCCGGGGTTCAACATAAACTCTCGGAGCTCCAAATTTTCATATTTACGCAGTTTCTTGCTTCTTCCACGAGAGCCTCACGGGCCACGCTGGTTGCGGGCGGCGCCGAAGAGCCGACCTGACCGCCGTCGTCGTCGTCGTCGTCGTCGTCGTCGTCGTGGGCCGTCGCTGTCTGGCGTCTTCGTGCTCGCCGTCGCCGTCGGTTGTCCGTGCTTGGCGCCCATGGTCGTCCGTCGTCGCCTGTATCGGTCCGTCATGGTCGCAGTCTCGATGCGTGGGTTGTCGCCCGTCGCTTGTCGTCGTGGTTCCAAACCAAAGTCCGTGGCGATGAATTCGAGCTGGCTGTTTTTTTTTGTTGATTCTGGGCATCTTGGGGCCCGTGTTGGCCCTCGGGGCCTTCACGAGCCGATCGTCCACGAAGGGTATCTCGCTTCTTCTCCCCCCGAATCCTCCCTCCCTCCGCGCCGCGCCCCTCCTTCCGCTTATCCTTCTCTATCTTTCTGTCTCTCCCTCTCTCGCTCTCTCTCTCTTTCTTTTCCATCTCTCCCTCACTTGTTATGTGTGTTAGTATATGATACATGCACATGGGTGTGGGTGTCTTGCTCTTTCCCTTATAACCCTTCGTTCTCTCCGATCATGTTTGTACCTTTATCTCTCTCTCTCTCTCTCTGGGTCTCTGCCTTTGTTAATGTCGGTGTGTCTGCCTATCTCTTTATCGTTCTCTCTTTATCTCCCTCCCCCCCTCTGTGTGTTTATGTCAATAATTCACCCTCTCTCTCTCTCTCTCTCTCTCTCTTTCTCGCTATGATTTCTATCGTTTGCTGTTTTTTTTTTCTCTCTCCCTCTCTCTTTCCCCCCTCTCTCCATACCTCCCTTCCTCCCTCCCCACGGGCTCTTTCTCTCCCTCTCTCTCACTCTCTCTCTGTCTCTCTTTCTCGGTCTCTCTCTCTCTCTCTGTCTCTCTCTCTCTCTCTCTCTCCTTCTCTCTCTTTCACTCACTCTCTCCCTCCGAACTGTCCGTCCCGCATCATCTCTCTCTCTCTCTTTTTCTCTTTCTCTCTTTCTGCCTTTCTCATGTTATCGATATTCATATTTAGACATTTTCAAATACATTCCAATGGCCATGTCTCTGTTACTGTTGTTTGCTATAGATATCACTCTGTCTCTTTCTTTCTACGACTCTCTCTCTCCCTGCCTCTCACTCTCTCGCTTTTTGATGTCATCGTTATCTCTCTCTCTCTCTTCCTCTCTCTATCTCTCCATCCCTCTCCCTGCCTCATGGTTGCTCTCTCCATTCCTTCCTCCATCCGTCGCCTCGCTCCTCCTCGCTCTTCCTCTGTCATCCTCGTCGGTCCTCCTCGTCCTCTGCTCTCCTCTTCTACGGGCGCCCGAGCCGCCGCCTTGGAGAGATCAGTTCCTCTATTTCCTGAAAATGTATTCCGCCCCGCCTGGTTCTCCTCTGTATGTTTCTCCTCTGCGCGCGCGGCCTTCTTGAGACTGCCATGATGTCTGGTTCTGCCCCCTGGCAGCCTCATTCCTCCCACAGGGAGTTCGGTAGATCGGCCACGCCTTGTCTCAGGCCGGCGTGCCCCAGGCCCCAGGCCGAGTCCGTGGCCTCCTGGGAGCTTCTTGGGGCCCCTTGGGAGCCTCCTGAGGCCTTTTGTGGGCGCCTCGGGGCGTCAGGGGGGCTCTTGGGGCCCTCATGGGAAGAAAGGCTTGACATTTCAGTTCGTGTTCCCCTTCTTGGCCCCCTC